AAAAAAAAAAAAAAAAAAACATCACACCCCTCGTCAAACCGAATTTTAAATTTAACAAAAAATAATAATAATAATAATAATCAGGTCCTTCGTCCGACTTCCGGTGTCATTTGGTCGTGCGCGGCGAAAACGACGACTGTAAATTTACACACTTGTAATTTTTATATATTTATATGCGATTCCGATTTAGGTCAATAATCGGCGTGATAATAATACGTATACAGGGTCTTTCAAATTGTACGTTACAGTCGAATTCCGTGAATTGTAGGTGAAGGTGGGAGTATAACGGACCACTGCAGTATTCAAACGGCACCGCCACACAAACTGAAGCTCCGCCGCCACTCTGCAGTCCATAATCGAACTTAAAAGTCAGCGTTATCTCGTCAGCGAATTGACGGAAATGCCAAAAACATCAAAACGTATTTTTGAACTATGCAACATTACTCCGTGCGTGTTTATGGAATTTTCCAATGTCGGTTGCTATTGAAAAACCGAATCGACCCCGAAAACAAGGGTGACCGAAATAAGGGTTTAAAAGGACAATACATTTTTGTAAGAGTAGTTTGTTTTACCCTTTTTTTTTTTAAAAAAAAAAAAGTAAATAAATAAATAAGTATTCCGTGGACAATTCGGCTGTAACGCGAAATTTTAATGACCCTGTATACGTATATATTTATGTATGGGTACACAATATAAACGCGCGTTGAACTCGCGTCACATTATTTGATCGCGCGTCTATGTAGGTATCTGCATAGCCGGCGAGTGGTTCAAATTTTCGTGGCTTTTTTTTTTTTTTTCATCTATGAATATTTAAATTTAAAAAAAAAAAAAAAATACGATAATATAATTATAACGGTTACGCGCGCGTTATTCGATGGTATAATTAATTCGACGGACTGCGGAAAGAGACGCGTTTCGTCGCGGTGTCGGGTTTAACAGGGCCAAACGTTAAATTGTCCTCTCCGTCTGTATAAAAAGCATTCCGCACTGGTGCCGACGATTGCGACTGTCTGGTCGAGTGCAACTGTTTTTTTTTTTGCGTTTTACGAGCAAGAGTGTTAGTGTTTTAATGCGTTATTAGTGTAGTATAATAATATGATATGCAGGCTGAAATTAAGTTCGATTAAAACACGCGTGTGTCGATACGAAATGAAAATATTTTTCAAGAAAAACCATTCGAACCAGCCCTAGTCAACACACGTGTATTGGGTCCAGTCGTCTTAAACTCGACCCGCGAGTCGCGATCGTCGGCAGTGCGGAATGCTTTTATGCTGCGGGTGATTTTCGGATAACGGCAAAATAATAAAAGGCGCCGACCGACGACGGTGCATCTCTAGCGAATTTTCTGAGAAAAACGCCTTATGTAAACCAACGAAAACAATAATACAAAAACTGCGGAAATGTGAATATAAAAATCGTTTTCGATAAAAACAAAAACAAAAACCCCCGGCGACTCATGTACGGACTGTGTGTGGGCAGTCTGGTCCGCGGCACTGATAGAGTTTCGTTACGCGAAATTCGGCGAAAATGACAACAACGAACGATTACTCGAATCGTATCAGTGGGATAACCGGCGGATAGGCCGGGCTCAACTTTTCTCCGAAAACAAGCGTTCGATTACGATATATTAAAACATTATGATATACATCAGGATCCGATTAGAGTGAAAACAAGGCTGTAACCGCTGATGGGCGCGCCCCTGTTTTAGGAGAAAAGTTGAATGAGTGTCAAATAAGGAATATATTATGCAAAGTAATTCAATTCATATCCGTACGCAACGATAATCCGTATTGCCAACGAAACAGTATTCTGAGCAGAGTTTTAGCCGTCATATTATTATTATATTCCTTTGTTGTCGATGTGTGACCCTGCAGAAATCGACAAAAGCTGTACGGCATATCACCAGTTCGCGTCGTGTAAATAGAAAAACCGCACGGAAAATCAGAAAATGACCTCCGCCGGGACGCGCCAATCCGGTCGACGGTTCTACCTATAAAGTTTTCGATTCGATTTCCGGTTAGAAAAGTTGGCTGCGGACGCAGTATGAAGAAGAAAAACAAAACACGCGCACGCATCGCGGTAAAAATCATATACGCATTTCTCGCGACGCTCGGAATCCGAAAAATCACCCGGGTTCGCGCTCGAGCAATTAACGAACAATTGAAAAACGTTCGTCGATCGTTACGGGCCTACCGGGTTCGATGTTCCGTTTGCGTTCCGTAAACCGCGACCGGCCGAACCTCGGACCGCTGTATAATACACACGCGCGCACACACACACACACACACACACGAGGACGGTGCGCAAACGCCATCTCGTAAGTTACCGGTCGTTACATAAATACCGCGATTTCGACGTTGCTTTATTACGATATTATCGCATAGGTGTACACCGCGGGTTCGAATCGCATTACACGCGTTTTTATCGTCGGACACGCGGAACACCGCGGATTACGCAAACGCGTCGTCGTCGCAAGACGCGGACCGATCGCGCCGCGGCATAGGTGCAAAAGTGATTGGTGTTTTTCTAGGTTAACACATCTGTGCGGCGGCGGCGGCGGCGGCGACGCACGCCTGCGAGTTGCGGTAGGCGGGTGATGGATTTTTCGACGAAAAACATTGGGGGAATAGGAAAAAAAAAAAAAAAACCAGAAAAAATCGCGCCGATTGCGTGTTGACGCGGATTTGACGCGGTGGCCGCCGCCGTTTTACCGCGAGCGATTTTCAAGGTGGACGGATGACCTTTCCGATCGGAGTGACAAACGGGTGGCGCCCATAATGTTGTTAAAAGTGCGCGTTGGGTTTCGCGCGGAATCGCAAACAGCGCTGCGCCGCACAAAAACGCAGTAGTACGCCGCGAACAGTGATAAAAAAAAAAAAAAAAAAAAAAAAAAAAAAACCGAAAACCCATGCCGCGAAAGAGAAAGGTCACGGAGCCGTTGGACCGCCGCCGCGCACATTACCCGCGTGCGGATTAACGGCATTTCGGAACGGGTTGCGACGGCCGCGACCGCGCGGTGCCCACGCGGAAACCCCGCGCCGTCGCGAGCGCGCGTTATCATTAAACGCCCGCCGTTAACGGCCCGCGGCTATTGGCCGCGGAAAAAATGCCGTCGACAAGACGCGCGGCGGCTTCGCCGAGCGGTTGGCAGTGTACGCGCGGTGGAAGGGGGGAGGGGGGTGGAGAGAGGGATGGTGACGTTTGCCGGACATTTCGGCGCCACGGGGCGGCGCTGTGTGGCGGCTTTCCGCGGCACCGCGAAATCCGTTCGGAAACGGTTGTGAAAAACGGCCTTATGTTCGCGGTGATGAAACACGCGTACACGATAAACACTTGCAGCCGTGACTTTTGTAACGCGCTGTTATATAACAACAACAACTAAACGTCACGTTCCAACAACAACGGCCGCCGCCGCATCGGGAGGCGGAGAAATACTACGCCGGATCGATAACATTGGCTCTACAATAAAAACCGAAACGTAACGACGATAACAACGCACGCATTACAAGTAATGTCGGACCGGCCGCCGACGACGGGCCGAGAACGGCGTGGACTGCGGTACGTGCCCGCGGTACACGACATTACAATATTCCACACGTAACACCGTACGCGCCTAACCGCGTACAATGCGCGCACGCGAGTAACGCGAGTGTGTACGGCAGCATAAGCGATGCCGATAACGGATACGCGATTATTCCGTCGAACGTTCTCCCCCGCGGCCCGGCCGCCGCGCGTTTAGCCGATAACGTTACGCGCGCGGCGTGCGCGTGTGTACTTCGCGTGATAATAACTGATAACGGATTCCCCCAGACACCGCGGAGCCTACGTACGGGCCGACGAAAAACCCGACGGTTGCCGCCGACACCCGCGCGCATTTTTCGACCGGTGTTTTCAAACTGGCGCGCGGCGCGGGTTTTTTTTAATTTTTTTTTTTTTTTTTCTGCCTTTTGATTTTCTCTCGGCTTCACTGAATCCGAGGACTCGTTTGTTTTTTTTTTCACACGCACCGTCCTTCCCCATTCCCCCCACCCTCCCGCCGCGGAATACACGCGATAGGTTATTTTTAAAAAGTACAACGCACGTACCTGTGTTACGGTCTTTGTCGGTTTTCATGCCGACAAATCTGTGGCCGGCGTGTTCGTTCGGCGTATATCGAATTGGCAACAATAAAAAAAAAAATAAAAAAAATAAAAAATAAACAGAAAAAAAAACAACGAACCGACGAACGATAATATTTCAAAACGGGGGGCGGGTACGGGGAGGTTCGTCTAGATTGTTTTATTGACACACGCGAGGAATCCCAAAAAAAAAAAAAAAAAAAAAAAAAAAAAAAAAAAAAAACCGAACGGACGAACGGTGGTCACAGTCGCACGCGGATCGGCGAGTATACGTTCATATTGTAAAAAAAAAAAAACCCGATATTATTACTATTATATTAATTGGCGATTATAACGAGTGCGCCGGGCAGGTTACAGTCAATAGTGGTAGATAATATTATTATGCTCGCGCACGATATTCCGAGGTCAGAACGAACGAAAAAAAAATTCGAAAAAACCACAATAAACGGCAGTCTCGTAATAATAATATATAAAAATTCGATCCGAACTGTTGTGCGAACGAAAAAAAATAAATCGTTTTTCCCTTTTTTTTTTTTTTTCTATTTTTTTCTCTTCTCCTATCAATCTCCGACAATGCTATTATTTTTATAAAAAATAATAATGATACAAATTTTGCGTACGAGGGAGAGAATAAAAAAAAAATGTAACGTAAACGTAATCCGTCGGACGTGTCGGCGTGCGTCGATCGGCGCGTACAGATGAGAGAGTACCGCGCGGTTCGAGAACGGCTCGTGAACTGATGACGAACGCTGGTACGGTATAGTTGCCGGCGCGGCTGGCTGGCCGGCCGGTCGGCGGTCGGGTTGGTGGTGAACGCTCCCACCAAAGACCCCGCGGCCACGCGGCGGCCGGTGGACGACCGCGGGTGGGTGGCGACCCGCGTGCCGGCGGAGGGGATAGCGTGACCACCTATGTGGAACACCCCCCCCCTCGCAACCGCCGCCGCCAACCCCCCCGAATGCCGAAGCTAAACCCCTGCCCCCTTACGAGAACAGAGAAAAAAAAAAAAAACAACAACGTTACGGTTTTCCGGGGACTCGCGGAGAGCCGCTAACCCTCCGCCTACGCCGCGCCGCCGGCACCGCCGCCGAGTCTCCTCCTGCATTACCGTCGGCGGCGGCGGCGACGGCGGCGGTAGGACGAGTCGCCGCGGTCACTCTTAACAATAATATCATAACCGTCTTCGTCCGTCACCCCCCCCCCCCCCCCCCCCCCCCCCCCCCCCCCCNCAACCACCCACCCACCAATCCCCTCACCACCCCCACCGCCGCCGCTGAATCGCCGCGCGACCGTAATTTATCGTACGTTATTATACATTTTACATTTATCGGCGCGACTGTATTATTATCATAATCGTGTTATTACGACACGATGTTTTTATTCGGGGGCGGAGCCAAGTCGTTTTTCTAAAGGGGCATCCGAGTGCACAATACTCTACATGCTTAGATGTACTTGTATACGTACACGTCGAGTCGGGTGTTCGGACGGCTCGCTGTACGGAGGGGGGGGGGAAGTGGTTTTTCGATTTTTCCGATGCACGCCGTTTCCGTTTGTTCTACCGCCGACGTCCGAAATCGGACCGACCAAAAACACACGGACCGTTTCCGCTGACACCGGTGAGCGCGCGGCGCGGAATTTCAGGCGTACACGATCGAATAACACGCGTCTGCAGAACGGTTGCAGATTTGACGTTTGAGGGAAGACGGGCGTGTCGTCGGAGGTGTTCTCGAGTTCGAAATCTTTCCCGCAACGCGTACGTCGTTGAGCGGTGGCCATTCGTGTACACACTATACGCCGGTGGCGCGCCGATGTGGGTTTTCGTTCGAGGCGACCGCCTGACGGCCGAAACGGCCGGGTGACCAAATATGTCGGAACGTCGATTAAGACCGAACCTACAGGTTCAGGGATCAGACATGCCTCTACGGTTTTGCGTATTTCATGTATTGTTCATGTACACGCTGACTGCTTGCGAACACGATGGCCCGTATATTGTGCAGTCGACGGAGCTAAACAAAGCGTTTACTTTAATTACGCGCGCGGCGTATAAAAATCAATTTTTCGAGCGGATGAGTCCTAGTTTTTTTTTTTTTTTCGTTTCGCCCTCAGTGTATGACGAATGTTCAGCGCGCTATTGCGGCTTCGCAAACATAAAAATGTGCGCCTGCCATTCGCGTTTTTATCGTAATCGACATTGGGCAACAGGCGCGGATCCAGGTGGACGAGTGGCGTGTATTTGACTCAGTGTTATGGCGGATGGCGACGGTAAAATTATTATACGCTGCAATGTGCACGAGCTTATACGTATTCTACTCTATTTTAATCTATTATTTTCGTACCTGATGACGCATTCCTGGTTTTGTGTGCAATGTTTGTGTATATTTATGTATGGCAAATAAATTGGTTTGCAGTCTACCACCCGTCCCCCCCCTTTCAAACACGCTATTGCAAGTGGAGGACTAGGGATCTTTAGCACCCGCGCCCCCCCTCCCATTGGGCTGTAATTAATACGTTTCTAAAGATATAGTTTCGGAGTTTTAAGTTATCGTGCGCATCGTTCGATAAATCAAATGTTTTATATCAATTCGCGTTATTACCGTGATGAGTGCATTTTGTACGACGATTCGGCGACAACCTTTGTCCCGCTATCTGTACTCGCCGCGGTATGACCGCCCCGACCGCCTCCGTTTGTGATTTCTGGATCCGCGCCTGTCGTCGGGCTGCTGCGACGTCGCATCCGACGCCTCCCCGAAAACCGTCGCTAACCGAACGGAAAGCGCGCGTGTGCGCCACGCGGAAAGCCGGGGAAAAACATCCGCCGCCGGCGGTGTACGGTACGCGTGTACCGGGCGCGTCGAACCTCTCCGCCGAATACGAATTCCATCGCCGGCTATCCGTGCCGTCCGTCGAACGCGCCCTAAATTGCGTGCTCCGTGCCCGCGACGCCGGTTGATATTTCTCGCGTGCGCGTAAATATGCGTTCCCCGTGTACGCCGGCCTGCGGAACGTTCTTAACGCGTTTGTCGTCGCGGAAAACGGCGGCGACCGCGGGCGTGTCGCGCCGCGCGGGCATTATTGAGACCGCCCGTTTTACTAACACGTTATTAAGAGGGTTCATTTTTTATCGGCCGGGCCCGCCGGCGGGACGCGCGAAAACGCGAAGTCTAACGTCACTGTCGCGGGGAAAATGTACGATCGGTGTTGCGCGGCGCGGCAAAGGTATACGCGCGCGTACGCATACTTATCGGCGAGGCCGATCGGATAATAACAATGGCACAATGGAAGCGAGCCGCGGCGACGGCGGCGGCGGCGGCGGCGGCGGAGAGGTATCGACTAGGAAGCCCGTTTGTTATTTCGACGCGCGTTTTCGACGAGAGCACTCCCGGGAGACGCGTATATTTTTGTCGTGTTACGAAATACGTTTATAAGACAATAATGGGACCTGCGCGTCGTATTATATAATAATAATATACGCGTGCACTCCAAACTGGCGGCCTTATCGATTTGATCCACGTGCTGTTCGCCGTCATCGGCAACATGTTTACACGATGATTAACGACGCACGGCGTTTTAACAAACTGGAAAATGTATACGCGCGCGTATGATATTCGTACGTTTTCGTGTGCGGTACGTCGTCGGGTCGGGGACGGCAGTTTAAGAACGGCGAGTGTGGGAGGGGGNGGGGGGGGGGGGGGGGGGGGGGGGGTGGCGGGGGGAAACGAATCCCGAGTACCCGTGTACGCGTATAATGTTATTAAAAGCGCAAAAAAAAACATCTTTTTTTTTTTTTCCTCAAATCTTTAAAGCGTACCAACTCCGTAAAAAATATCGTCCTGTACACGGCGCGTATCCCAGTCGTGCTGGCGCGCGCGGTGCACACTGCGCACGCACATTAGTGTCAATAGGTTACCGACTTGTTTACAACATTGATCGATTGTGTATAATAATAATGTGTGTACAGAGAGACAGAGGCAGAAAGAGAGAGAGTGAGAGAGAGAGAGAGAGAGAAAGAAAGATATATATATATATGTGTGTGTGTGTGTGTGTGTGTGCTGACACGAAAAACAAGTTTGAAAGGTAGGGAAAAAAAACCGTATATTATATTATATACATTCCGAATGGCGCGCGCGGATCGACGACGGCGGCGGCGGCGGTACGGTCCGAGGACGAACGGGCCCTGGACACGCGGTCTGATGACCTAGGCCTCGGACGGCGATGGCCCGCCGCCGCGGCATGTTATTATTATACGCGATGACGACACTTGAAGACTCGAGCGCGGCGGCGGGCCCGCGGCGACGACGACGCGCCGCCGCGGCCGCCGAGCGGTAGCCGCGGACCGCAGACACACGGACGCCGCCGATAGCGACGCGGCGACGGCGACGACGACGACGACGACGACGACGAGAGACCGGTCTCCTTTTGATTGGCAGCGTGGGTGTGGTTTCCCGTGTGTGTGAGTGTGTGTGTGTGTGTGTGTGAGTGTGAGTGTGTGTGTGTAAGTGTGTGCGTGCGCGCGTTTGTGCGTGTTTGTGTGTGCGCGCGTGCGTGCGCGTGTACGGCCAGCCGCAACCGGTCGCCGATTTGTGTGCGTGCGCGCGTGTATGTGTATATGTGTGTGTGTGTGTGTGTGTGCGTGTGCGTGTGTGTGTGTGTATTTGCGTGTTTGTGTGAGCGCGCGCGTTTGTGAGCTCATCGCCGACGCGGAGACGACGCGACCACCGCGACGACTACGACCAGAATATAGGTACACTCGATCCGACGCGCCGCCGCCGCGTATATTCGTCTTTTTCTATTTTATCGTTTTTCTCGGAGCGGTTTTTAATTTTTTTTTTTTTTTTATTCCGTTCTCTCTTTGCATTCCGCGCATGACTATAATATATATACATATGCACATACATACATACATATTTTACACGCGGCGCACACGACTGGTTTGAGGCATACAAAAGCCCGCGCGCGATACATTATTTACTTACATTATAATAATATTACGTACACGGTACCGTATATCATGCGCACGGACCCAATAACGATGACAATAATAATAATAATACGCGGCACCGCGGTACACAAAAACAACAACAACAACAACGTAAATGCCGGCCGCGATAATAACGCGCGTCGGGTTTCGAGTGACTTTTTTTTCCGGAAAATAATTGCCGCGCATTGTCGGCAAAGTCCCGGACAACGGGTTTTCGGCGGGCCGTTTCGGCACCCGCGGCGTGTCGCCGAAACGCGCGCGTGGTAACGCTGCAGACGGAACGCGACGTAGTTCTCGGCGTACGACTGTACGCGTGTATATATCATTTATGACACGTTCGCGCTCAAAACCGACGTCATTTTTCCAACGAAAACGTATAGGGAGAGGGGGGAAACTGTGAGGGAAACTCGCTCGGTGTATCGTCTCAAAACGGATCCCGGGAAATCCGCGCACACTCGTCATCGAATTTAATCTGATACACGTCGTCGAATCTTTTTCGACATTTTTTTTTTTTTCTCTACGTTATGTACCCGCGATCAGTGATGTTTCGACAATGCGTAATATAGGTGGCCAATACGTACAGTTTTCCTTCGAACGTTTCCTCCGTGGCAATTATATTATGACGCTAGACCAGCCGTCTCCTGGACAGCTTTGCCTGTGCACGGTGCTAAAAAAAAAAAAAAAAAACAAACAAACAAACGCAAACCTGCTGCAGGTTTCCCCTTGACTCCCCGTT